TTTTCTGTGGTCTTAAAAAGGCATTTTAAGGCCTTTAAACGCTTCTAACGCCTAGAAAACGCATTTTAATTTTCTGTGGTCTAAAAAGGCATTTTAAGGCCTTTAAACGCTTCTAACGCCTAGAAAACGCATTTTAATTTTCTGTGGTCTAAAAAGGCATTTTAAGGCCTTTAAACGCTTCTAACGCCTAAAAAACGCATTTTAATTTTCTGTGGTCTAAAACGTTTTAAGGCCTAAAAACGCATTTGAATTTTCTGTTTAAAAAGGCATTTTAAGGCCTTTAAACGCTTCTAACGCCTAGAAAACGCATTTTAATTTTCTGTGGTCTAAAAAGGCATTTTAAGGCCTTTAAACGCTTCTAACGCCAGAAATGCATTTTAATTTGATTGTTATTGTGAATGGTTATATTACACAGCTGATCACCAAAACAACTTGTTGACATTTGATTGCCGAAGTTTTTGAAAGTCGGTGAAAAAAGGACATTATTTCTAATTTGTTGTCCGAATTCCTAGATATAATTAAACAAATTATAAAAGTACAAACAATTTTGAAAGTAAAATATAACATCACAAACAATATTTTCAAAATAATAGCTACAAAAATGTTAAATTGAAATACATAAGAAGAAAGGACTATTGTTGTTGTTGGTGTATGGGTTAGCAGTTAATAGGACAAACCAATTGCACTTGCTTGATACTATTAATAGAACAAAGGGTGCTTGAAATTTGCGGAGGAAATTATTTATTGTCGTAAGGATGCATCGTTACAAAGTCAATGCAATGGTGGGAGAGGGCTCTTTTGGTCATGTCTATAAGGCGCTTCGGAAAGATGACAATCAGATTGTGGCCATTAAAGTCATATCAAAGGTAAGTTGATACAATTCTTTAAAAGGATACAAAATTTATTAGCATATATTTTGCAGAGAGGCCGCACCAGCCGTGACTTAAAAACCCTTCGCCGTGAATGTGAAATACAGGCCCATCTCAAGCACCCCAACGTCATTGAAATGTTAGAATCTTTCGAAACAAAACATGATTTGATTGTGGTCACAGAGTTTGCCACCATCGATTTACATCGTTATATGGAACGTAATGGTTATTTGCGGGAGGATAAAGGACAACGACTGATATGTGATTTGGTGTCCGCGCTCTATTATTTACATTCAAATCGTATTTTACATCGTGATTTGAAACCACAAAATGTTTTACTCGATGAAGAGTTGCGAGCAAAGCTGTGTGATTTTGGTTTAGCTCGCAACATGACAATGAGTACACATATGTTGACATCCATCAAAGGTACGCCATTGTATATGGCACCCGAGCTATTGGAAGAGAAGCCGTATGATCATCAAGCTGATATATGGTCGCTGGGATGTATATCATATGAATGTTTGGTGGGTCATCCACCGTTTAGTACCACCTCTATATTGCATTTGATAAAAATCATTAAAAAGAATGAAGTCACCTATCCGGGATATTTGAGTCGTGATAGTCGTTCGTTTTTGCAGGTGAGTGGAAAATATTAGGAGTATTATTTGTCAAAAAATATATAAAGGAGGTATTTCAGATGTGGAAGCTTGTATAGGTGGATCACTATTGTCCATTTAGAAATTGTACATGAAGACAAATAAGTACAAAATATCTGTATATAGAAGAGCTTCAAAAAGTATTTTATATATAAAAGAGCTTCAGCATTTCTTCTTCCATAGAAGAGCTTCAGAAGACCCTCTATCTAAAGAAAAGCTTCAGAATGTCATCTACCTATGGCAGAACACCAGAAAGTCTTCAAAATAGAACTACTTCGTAAGTTCTAATAAATATAAATAGCTGCAGAATTCCTTCTATATAAAGATGTGCTTCAGAAGGATTTCTATCTATAGAAGAGTTTCAGTAGGTCTTCTATCTATAGAAGATGTTCAGAAGGTTTTCTGTGTATAGAAAAAAATCTTCCATAATCTCACGAACGATTTCAGGATGCCTTCTGTCTATGTAAGTGATTCAGAAGGCCTTCTGTCTATAGAAGATCTTCAGAAGTGTTATGAATGTTATTCTGCCTTTAGAGTGCCTTGAATACCTTCTGTATACAGAAGTTTTTAATCATTTACAAAAATTTGTGTGGGAGTTTTTAATAGATGTTTGTTATTTATTTTCCAGGCCCTTTTGGAAAAGGAACCAACAATGCGAGCCAGTTGGGCTCAAATTCTCTGTCATCCCTTTGTCGAAGGTAAACTTTATATTAAGGCTGGTGTCAAGTCTGAAAATTCACCATTTGTAAATCCACAAAATGGAAAAAATAAACTTAACAAGTCCTCCAGTCAGTCCAAGGAAAAGTAAGTAATGCCTTTTTATATACAATCCTAAAAGCTTCTCTAATTTCTCATACATTTTTAGTAATCTGAATATGGTCAAAGTCAGTCACAAATTACGTTCTATAAAATTGGATGAATCTCAAGATAATATGACATGTTCACGCGATAGTATTAATGCCATCCCACCCAGTGATATGGAAGTCTTGGAAACAGATGTTGAAGATAATATAATTGTACCATTTGCCAATGAATCATTTCAAGGGGATAAATTAATCTCAAAAAATTTACCAAATGAAATGAAATCTACACCCATTCTACCAAGACCACACGTTTTGGGTGGTGAGATGTTGCAAATACCCGGTGTACATATGCCGCTAATAAATTCTCAGACCTGCTTTGTTAATGGCAACAATAATATGATATTAAATAATTTGGAAGATAATTTTACACTTACCAATACTATGATGAATGATGATTATAATACCAGCGGTTATAATGATAGTAGTAATATGGTCGTAAACACACTACAAGAAAATTTAGATGCAAATGATGCTGAGAATTTCAATGAACATAATAACAGTTTACAACAAACCAATGACGAGCATAATACAACTTTAAAAAATTCTCAAATAAATGACGGACAACATTTGGAAAATCATTGTTTTAGAGAAAATACACATCGCATAAATAATGATGCATCAACGGCAAAGGGTTTGAAACAAGAATCCACAGAGAAGTTGAAACATTCTAAACGGGCTGGCGAACATGATAAGTCTCAGGATAATGAACAAAAATCGAATTCTGTTAAGACATCAATACAATCACTGGAGGGGAAACATAATACTCAGTATGTTTACTTACCTATATCTGTTTCCAAACATGACTTCAAAATCATGTTCATTTTCTTTTACAGAAATTCCCCACCATGTCTAATGCCCGGCTGGGATTCATGCGATGAATCTCAAAGTCCTCCCATGGAAAGTGATGAATGGTTGGCATTTTTACAGCGCACAATACAAGAAGTCTTGGATGGTGAATTGGATTCATTGAAACAAAAGAATTTGGTAGGAATTGTAACCGCTAGAAAAAAAGTGCTTTTTTATTTCAATACTAATTTTTTATTTCATTTTGTAGGTCAGTATTATTGTGGCTCCTTTACGCAATACTAAAGCCATACCCAAGGTAATAGAAAGTGTGGCCGAATTATTGTCTCTGCCATTTGTCTTAAATGAACCGCTCAGTATTATGGAGTCAATTAACAAGGTATAAAATATTATTACAATATTGCAGTAATATTGAGGTACAAAACATATAATATCGTTACCCGACCACACGAATAATTCTGACACGGATTAGGAAATCGTACAGAATTAATTACTCAAACTGTTTTCTTTCTTTTTTATGCCATTAACCATTTATATTATCTTCTTCTCGTTTTTAGGTCTACATTGATTGCAAAATAGTTCCTAATCTAATGTATGCCTCCAAATTATTAATCTACGAACGTTTGGCGAATGATTCCATTACATCATTGCCACGACAAATACGTACGGTTAATTATATGCGCGAAGAGGAAATCAAATGTATTTCTCGTCTCTATGAACTGGTGTGCCACTTGGTCCATTTAAATCTACAATTTCTGAATCAATTTTGTGATGCAGTCGCGATATTATCGGCAAATGAATTTCTTATTAATTTTCTAAATCAAGATTTTAAAAATTCGCATGCTTTACGTATTGCCACAAATATTTTGGCATTATTGTGTTGTGTTCTACGAGAATTACCGGAAAATGCTGAACTGGTGGAAAAGATTATATTTTCACCAAAGGTGGATTTAAGTTCGTTAATGCAAAGCAACAATGATTTGTTACGTTTGCGAATTTGTATGCTACTACGTCTATTGGGTAGATATAGTTTAAGAGCTTTGCAAGCGGCGTGGTCGACAGATGTAAGGGAAGCTATTGAATTGCTGAGTGAAGATAATAATGAGGATGTTAAAGTGGTAAGTTTTTTCTTAAATAATTACTTTAGTAGTATTTTTCAACATTTTATTTGATTTCTTTTTTTCGTTTCAGGAGGCTGGTAACACTGTAGAGGAGTTGCGTAAATTTTCTTTTTATGCTTAAGTATTATTGAAATTCCATTTACCTTTACTTAAAGTAAAGTCAGTTGTAAGCATTTATTTTGATACTCGTCTATTTTTTACTTTTATTTGTATTTTTTAAATTTATATATTCTAACAAGGTTTTTTAAATAATTAAGTATGTTAAGTGATTGTATTACACAACAAAAAACCAATGTTAAATTCTATACGAAGATTCTATCAAGTGTTCCTTGAAAATAATCAATAATATTATCTAAATAGTTGCCAAAACGATCAAAATCGAAAATACTAAAAACATTACATTCTTCTTCGTACATTTCATTTAACTTGGCAATGTCCTTTTCCGATAGGCCTTTACGTTGACCCAAACTGGCAGTGGGATCCTGTTTAAGAAACACAATTTTTTATATTAAAAACAATATTAATTTTTTTCATTTTATGTAAGACTTACCAAAGGTTCAATGGTATTTTTACCATTTTTCGTAAATGCCTTAGAACTATAGTGCATAACGCTATTATAATCGTACTCCACACCAAAGTTAGTAACATATGTCCGTGCATATTTATTGAAATTGTGTGCATGCCCCGGCAAAATATTTTCCCAATTGATTTTGACATATTCATCACGTTCGGTTGACGATTGCTGGTGATAGAAACCCAGAGCATGCAACAATTCATGAACCACAACACCATGTGATACACATTTGGGTGTATTCAAATTTAAAACCTTTGAAAGATAACATTTTAAGAATTTTAATTTTTTATTTATTGTTGCAAAATTCTTTTAATTACAGCTCATTACTTACTTGTCCACCAGTTCTGCGACCAACACTGGACCAACATCCCGAATAATTGCCTTTAAAAACAATCCAATTTTTATCTCCTTTTTCGTATGGACGAAAACGTATGCATGTCTTGTCGTGATATTCCTTTAGGGCCCTTAATATGGTCATCGTTTGGGTTTCATCTGCAAAAGACGAAGCAACATTGCAGAGATTAATGGTAAGTAAGCAAAATTATCAATTTTTGTTCTCAATAAAATAACTAAAATTTTTGAACGTATAATTGCGCGCAAATATTTCCAAGGAATAGAAAAACCGGCGGTCGTATTTTTTATATAATTATTTGTATTAAATATATACATTTATATTGTTAAATATCAAATTATATCTAAGTTACACCATAATGCACCAAAGTCCAGGAGATTTAAATCATTAATCGAGGATGAAGAAGGTATCGAACACCTACTCTGTACTCATCTGTTTAGTATATTCGGGATAGATACTCTTTCTTTTTCTCCGATGATTCCATTATAATATTTTTCCTCTTCCATTCTTCTATTTATCCTCTACTCTACAATAGACCACTGATCTCAGAAGGCTTATATGGCTGCCGAAGATACCTTATCTTAACCTAATAGGCATACATATGTAGATCAATATATTGACCTTTGCTGGTTTAGACATATCTAAATCATATGGGGTCGAAAAGCGTAATTTAAATAAGGTTCCTATTTGAGGGTTTCAGAGTCCAAATCCAATTTTTTGGTGTTCGTTTTTCAAGAAAATTGCAAACTTTCTCAAAAAATTTTCATCGTTCTTATTAAATATTACCAATATCGATCCACACAATTTTCTAACCAAAGTCACAATTTTTTAGCATTACGAAATAGTTGCAAAGTGGAATACGGTAGCCTTGGTTAGTCTACAACTTCTCCACATCATTTATTTGAAGATGAAGAAGGTATCGAACACCTACTCTGTACTCAAATGTTTGGTATAGTCGGGATAGACACTCGGACCTTTTTCTCCGATGATCCCATTATCATTTTTAACATCTATTTAACCTCTACCCTACAATGGATCACTGGCCTCGGAAGGCTTACTTGGCTGCTGAAGATACCTTAACCTAAAGGGCATACATATGTAGATCGATATATAGAACTTTGCGGGTTTAGACAGATCTAAATCGACACCAAATTGTTGGAAAAGGACAATGGACCAAAACTCATATGTGGTTGAAAAGCGTCATTTTAATAAGGACCATATTTGAGCGTTTCAAAGTCCATATCCCATTTTTCGATTTTTTAAGAAAACTGCAAACTTTTTAATTTTCTCCACCTTCAGGTGCTAGGACGTTTAATATTGCAAATGGGGTTTATCGCTCCACGTTTTGATATATATACCATATATTGGTACCCTCCAAATATTCGGAGGTATGGCCGCCATATAGTGTTACTCCATATCATATTTTGGTGATATTAGAAACGCTTTTCCGTCGATTTGGCAGTAACAATAACTGTTGGAAAGGATAATCTCCAACCGCTTATCATGGTTTTTGAATGCTCGCAATTTAATTTCTATTAATCAAGTTGCTTATAAAGCAAACCAAGGTTGTACAGACGTACTTTTACACATCGACTTTTATGCATCCAAATCCATATCAGCAAGAAGTCACACATCAGTACTTTCGATAGACTTTGAAAAAGCATTTGATCGCATCGGTATACATATAATATTAGATTCGCTGAAATCATGGGGAGTTGGAAGGAAAATTTTAAATTTCATCAAGTCATTTTTGACTGGGCGCACTTTTAAAGTCAAAATCAATAACTATTACTCAAACCAGTTTGCTATGAATAATGGTATACCTCAAGGGTCACCACTGTCGGTAGTGCTTTTTCAAATAGCCTTTAACCAAATCAGCAACATCATAAACAAATATCCTAAAATATATCATTGCCTCTACGCTGACGACCTATACATTCTGAGCTCGAATAAAGATAACGATGCTGCCAACATTCAATTTTCTAACATTATAAATGATATCAACACTTGGGCCAAAACATCTGGTGCCAAAATCTCTCCTACAAAATCTTCAATTCTACATATATGTCGGAAGCATAGCTGTAAACCCACCAACATAATAATCAACGGTGTTAGCATTCCCTACGTCAAGAAGCTTAAGATCCTGGGTGTAATTTTTCAAAAAAACTATCGGTGGAACGAACACATACTTAAATTAAAAAAGGACCTTATACCCCGTTTAAACATTATAAAGTACCTTTCACATAAAAGTTTCGCCCACATCAACACCCTTACTTACTTGGTAAAGACATTGGTGCTAAGCAAAATTGACTACGGTTTGTACCTTTTTGGGGACAGTCCTGTTTCAACTTTGAAACTTATTAAAGCCGTATACCACGATAGCATCAGGGCCAGCACATACGCATATAGAACTACTCCCATCAAAACCTTACTGATTGAATCTGGATTGCCTTCTCTCGAGCATAGAATTCTCGAGTCTAGGAATATGTTACTGCCTAAAATCCTGTCATCCAAGTCTTCCGTTATTAACACTGATGTATCGAAAATTTTAAAAACAAAACGAAAACCTAAAAAAACATCAGTTGTTTACTATTCTATTAGGAATAACATAGTAAACTTTAGGGATAAGGTTACATGTTTTAAACCTAAATGCCCTTCATGGCTTTTTTCGGACAAATCGTGCGATACATCTCTCAGCATTCTAGGAAAAAATGGAACTTCAAACGAAATATACGCACACCATTTTCGATTTTTTTCCTTGCAGCACTCGTCTTGGCAGTTCTTATACACTGATGCCTCTAAAACAAACTCAGTCTCCGCATACGCAGTTGTTGATTCCAATGGCGATACTCTATCCATTAAAACCCTTGCTGATTTTTCATCTATCTTCACGGCCGAAGCTGCTGGCATTATAGAAGCTATCAATATTGCAATCCATTCACAACAAGAAACAATAATTATTTCCGACAGTTTATCGGTTCTAAAATCGGTGTTATGTACATCAAACAACAGTTGGGCTTCAATTAACAAAATTCGGGATTTGCTAACCGAGAACAACTACATAAAACTTTTCTGGGTACCTGGTCACGTTGGAATTGAAGGAAACGAAAACGCCGATAAAGCAGCAAAGTACGCCTGCACCGCTCCAGTGTTGTTAGATGGAATAATCGAAAAAATAGATTTAAAAACATTTATAAAACACAAACTTAAACAAAATGCTAAACAACAACACATGTTATTTGACCATGTGCACTATAACAAAATAAATCCTAACTGCATAGTGCCCGTCTATCCAACCAATGTACCTAAAAAGCAAGTGCGCATATTTTCGAGACTTCGAATGGGTCATACTATTGCCACACACCAACATCTCATTAACACAAGTTTTGACAACAAGTGTCCCAAATGTGGAAATGTCTACACAGCACAACATATTTTAGAAACATGCAACGCTTTCGACAGAGCCCGCCTCAACTACCTCAACAACGATGGAACGAATATTTTAATATCACCTACTACTGTCAATATTAATAAAATATTTAACTACATACGTCATCTTAAAATTACTATTTAATAAAATTATTAAGAATTGTCAACCGATTTAGCTGATGGCCATTGTAGCCAATGCTAGATACTTTTATTATTAGCATTGTATTTACTACAATGTTAATACTATAATAAATAAATAAATAAATATATTCTCATTGGATTAAACATTTTTCTTATTAAATATTACCAATATCGGTCCACACCATTTTCTAACCAACGTCACTATGTGTTAGCATTACCAAATAGTTGTACATTGGAATACGGCGGCCTTGGTTAGTCTACAACTTATTCACATATAAAGGTCGTCGGTAATATTCAAGGTCCTAGACCAATTTTCCAACCTGCTTGTCCTGGTAGCAAAGTTAGTTTTAGTTATTTTGGACCGGTGTAATTTAACGACGTTTTTACTTGTGGGAACAAGTTTCAAAACCGATACTTGGTTTGATGTGACGTCAAATTTTTACACGTAGTACATGCCTATATATTGGTGGTACTAATATCCTTCTTATTCGAAGATTGATCACATTCATGGATTGATTCATGTCTTGTCCATACGTGTTAGTTGTAAGCCTCAACTTGTGTTTCACTTTTTTATTGTTGTTATTCATTTTCGTAATACTCACTGAAATCTTGGCTATCTATATAGAATGGCACCGTGGCATCTGGCCAAGTTGATTTTTCATTTAGCAGACCATTGCGTAAATATTCACGATGCAACATGATGTCACCTTCAAATAGTCCACTATGCTCCCAAATATGATCCTCATTTGCATCATTCCAATATTCAAAAGCTGGACCTGGAACAGAGTCCAGTAAATTAATGAGAAGCGATTATTGCTGATAAAATACCATTTGTGAAATAGTTACCACATACTGTTGTGTTGTCTCAACATATGCATATTTGGACCCCAGCGTGGATTGGGAGGTTTTACCGGATTCCAATTGGTCATGGCGGCGGCTTGGCATTGTCTCACTGGTTGCGATGCCAATAATAGACCAAGTAACAAAAAATAATGCAAGAAATGCATTTTGCAGTTTGGAGCAAGAATAGTGCGTTTGTTTCTTCTTCTACACGTTCTTTTTAGCTTCCAACCAATTCAATTGACTTTCTTCTTTCACTATCAATGATATAAATTTAAATGACGACTACTTCAATTCGAATGAAGAAAATCAACTTCACTTTCTTTGTCGACTGACAATAATCTATAGAAAGACTTTCAAAAATATTGAGGGTCTTTTATAGTCTCGGTTTAATTTGCCATTCGGCTCTTTGCTTCACTCTCCTACGCTTCTTCACTCTCTGACTTCACCACCTGACACTTTGGAATTTTTTTTTACGAATAAGAACTTTCAATTGTTTTTCGATTAAAATATCCATCCCATTCACATTCGACAACTGAAAAAAAGAAAATCGCTGACAACAAATACCCATTGAACACTTCGGGCAAGCGCGCAATTCATTCAGATTGGTAATAAAATTGTGTTTTTGAATATCATTAAAAAAATGAAATTGTCAAGTGCCGAGCAAGTGGTATGCGTTTGCGCTTAGCAGTTCATTTTTGTGCGAGTGAGTTCGAACCAATGAATTTAAAATGTAAATTGAAAGTATTTTTGTCGTCAATACATAACTTAATCATGGACTTGAAGGTGGGGGAAGACACATTTGGAGAATGTGTGTGGGTGGGTGTGTAGCTCCAACTACCAAAGCTTTCAAATTGCAGTTCATATACATGGGTATTTAAGCTTTGTCTATGTTCGAACCTCCGAAAATGGCTATAGCTGTCTAGAAAGATTAGGTAATAATACCAACAATGATCAAAAATTACTTCCAGACAATTTTCGATATTACTAATAGGAAACAACAAAATACGAGGGTTGTTCAACAACAAAAGTTGAATATGTTTAAAAATGTGCCACAAATATTGTGTGTGTGTGAATATTGTGTTAACCGAAACAGGGACCGATATTGATATTTTTGGTAGGTATATATTGGTGGGTATCGTTATATGGTGGCTATCCTTAAAAGTGAGCCGATATATCCCATTTTCAATACCAACCACTTTTTCTGATCAAGAATATATATATACTTTATGGGGAACGTTAACGGCAACGTTAGACACATAATTTTCCTTGCCCTTGGTCTTGACCAGACTTCCAATTGAAGGCTTGCCCAAGCCTAGGGGAGAGCCCTTTCTACGTTCTCCTCCAACTTCGTCACTAGCAGTGTTTTGTATATCATACTTACTTACTTAGCTGGCTTATGACAGAACGGTTGTTAAAGAAGCCGAACTTAAAAAAGATTTCTAGGCGCGTCGGTCTACTGCGCATCTCATCCAATTTGAATGACCATTTTCCGATATGTTGTCTTCTACTTGATCTTTCCATCGGATTCGTGGTCTTCCCCTTCTGCCTGAACCATCTTTTATATATCTTTTGAGCTGGGACAACCTCATCCATTCTTACAACATGACCTAGCCTACGTAGTCCTTGCAGCTTGATACGTCTAACAATGCCGATATCGAGAAGATCGGTCCATAGATCTCTCGGAGAATTTGTCTCTCAAAAACTTCAAGAGCTGCCTCATCTGCTTGCGCAAGTGACCATGCTCTTGTAGAGTTTGAGTTTGGTCTGGTGCGAGGTGGCCTTGTTTCTGTTTGTTGGCCAAAACTATTCTCGTCTGAATTTCAAAACAGTAGGCCTATTCTGTAACTTTTAACAACATTCGATATTGTTTAATTTTCTTTTGTTATTGTAAAAAAAACAAAACAAACAAATGAAATTGTTGTAAAATAAACAATGTCGAATGTTGTTAAAAAGTTACAGAATAGGCCTACTGATGTCATTAGTTTTATTTATGGCGGTACCAAGGTATATAAAATCTTTGACTACCTCGAAGCAGTAGTTCTCAAGTTCCACAGTTGGTCCGAGTTTACTGAACGTCTTGCGCGTTGGTCTTTTCGCCATATACTGCCAGTTCCACTTTGGCAGACTCCTTCTCAATTCGTTAAAAGGTGGCTGTCACCGCTCGCATTGTTCGAACCATTATATGGATGTTATCGGCGTAGGCGAATAGCATATGCTGTTTGGTTTACATTTCCATCTCGTATGACCTTTTCAAGCAGGATGTTGAACAGGTAACATACTGAATCCTCGTTCGGTATTGAGGGGTTCCGAGAAGTCTTCTCCGACTTTAACTGCATTGTAGCAGTTCAAGTTCTCCTGCATTGCCGTATTAATTTTGCTGGAATGCCAAACACAGACATGGCTTTAAACACCTCTGAACGGATAAGGCTGTCGAATGCTGCTTTATAGTCGACGAATAGGTGGAATGTGTCGATGTGTTTTTCGTGGGTTTTTTCCAAGATCTGGCGCAGAGTGAAAATCTGGTCATTGGTGGATTTGCAAGGCCTGAAACCGCATTGGTATGGTCCAATAATGTCATTGACCATTGGCTTCAGTCGTTCACCCAGCACGCTGGATAGCATTTTATATGCGATGGGAAGGAGACTTATTCCTCTATAGATGGCACATATCGTTTTGTCTCCTTTTTTGTGCACGGGACACATGATGCTGAGGTTCCAATCATGGGGTATGCATTCCTCTGGCCAAATTGTACAAATGAGCGGGTGCAAGCTCCTGACCAGCATCTGACCACCGGTATTGGATAGTTCGGCTGGTAATTCGTCGGCACCTGCTGCTTTATTGTTCTTCAGTCGATTAATTGTTACTCTGACCTCATCTTGGTTACGTGGTATAAACTTTATACAGTCATCTCTAATTGATTCTGGGGTATCTTCTTCACCGCCACTATTTGATACCAGAAGCTTTCCAAATTCCCCCTCCAGATCCTCAGCCCGTTATCTGTATCTGTCAGCAGGTTTCCATCTTCATCTCTACAAGAGACCTTCTTAATTAAATACGTATTTAAGTGCTTTCGTAAGTCGACCACAACCAATCATCATTTTATATGAAAATGATTTCCAATGAATGCTTAAAGCTTTCTTTATGTGGGACACTGGGTTAGTAATGTCATTCGTTAATTGTTCATTCGTTCGTTTGTTTGTATGTCTGTCTGTAGCATACCAATCAATTTTTTTTATTATTTTTTTAATCATATGTTTCGATTTTTTTGGGTTTCTACAGCTGATATATTTGTAGTCTTTAAGCTATTTCATTAATAAAATAAGACAAAATGAATGCAGTGTTGTCCATCTTGAGTAATTAACAGTTGTGAAAAGATATATAGCAGAGGGCCTTTAAAAAGATAAAAAAATACAAATTTCGATAAATGGATTTGCATCATCACACAGAACGCCATAATACTGATAGCAACTCAGATCTACTATCGATTGAACGAATGGTTCCATTATTGACAGCTCTTAGTTCATGGTAGTAGTTTCGTAATTGCGGGACAGTTGTTGGGTGGGTGGAAGGCTACGTGACGGCCAATGTGATGATGCTCGTAGTCACTTTTATTTATTTTTATTGCAGAAAGTCTGCAACTATAGTTCTAATGGTAGTAGCGTCGGTTATGAAGTTGGACAGAGGCTATTGTATTTACAGTATATACCGAGCTGGTGGAAATTTTAAAATTTTAAAGTTCTTCGGTAGCATGTACCTCAGGTGCACCTAGGTCAGAACATGTAGCCCGGCGGCTTGGTGTTGGCCCTTTGTGGCTTATTGTGCTGTCTGGGGTTTTGGCCCAAATCGCGGTTGGCTTTGTACCAATTTCCCAACCTAAGTGTCTATAGTTTGGTATCGGACGTTTTCTCCTGGCAGCAATTTATCATGTCCCTATATAAAAGACCCAATCGATGGTGTTTTTAATTTCCGTTATTCTGTCGTAGAGCCTGCCTCGGAGCCTGGACTGTATTCGCCACAAAATTTGCGACCCCACTCTCTACCATTACATAGTGTTCTTTCTCTTTATCCAGATTCACTGCTATTTTCTTAAACACAACTGTTTCTTCTTTTTCTGGTGGCATCACATTATAATTTCCTTGTACTTCTCCCTCCAACTTCGTATAATTAATCATTTATATATCACCGTACATGGTCATGTTTGAATTCTTAACGATATATTGATACTGAAACAAAGTTGTTGTATCCGATAGTAATTTTCAATTCCAACATAGATCTCATTTCAGCTATCAATCACACAAAACTCACACGCACACAAACTCACATTCAACACTTACAAATTCCATTTGATGATTAGATTCTCCATGGAGTTGGAGAGTATAGCGAGTGACACAATTTATTTCAAACTTCAAACCAAATTCAATTAAATTTAAATTGAATTTTATTTTGTCTTGGAGATTATTATGTTAACTGAGTATACATCTGATTACCGCGATCATCAATGCGATTCTAATGATTAACGTCACAAAAAACAAAAAATCTTTTACATTGCTGTGAGTTGTTACTCTGGAATTTCGATTATTTGTTGAGAACTTCAGTTGTCTGAGTATTCATCTACTTCTTGCTTTTTCTCGAATTCTTGTGGAATATCATCATTAATTGGGCTTTACATTTCTTTTTTTAGTAATTATCTGCAGCAGCTACATATTTGATTTACTGAGATTGGAGATTGTTGGTGTTGTTTGCTTCTTCTTCTTGAAATTTGTATTCTATTTTTATTTGGTATTTCCCCAGCCATTTTCAAGCATTTGTAGTATTGTTGTTGTAATTATTATTTTAGAAGAAAGTTCTGTTCAAAAATCTATGAACTTATATTATCGGTAAATAGAAAGCACAGTGGTTTTAAGAGAGATATCGGTTTTCTCTGGGTCCTTTTAGGGTAGAACATATTTATGCGTACAATTTTCTACGTAGGTTTATGTTTGTACATACTCCCCATACTATAGACCATACCACAGTCACCATATGACGTACACCGTGGTGCACCCTGTGATAACAATTTTCATCACCCGTTGCAATAGTGAGCTGATATGTGCCGCGAGTTCACCTATAAAAAAAGGCTGA